AGGCTGTTAGGTAGCACATGTTCAAATATGACCGTTAGGTTAGGTTGGTAGGTAGCACATGTTCGAATATGACCGTTAGGTAAGGTTGGTAGGTAGCGCATGTTCGAATATGACCGTTAGGTAAGGTTGGTAGGTAGCGCATGTTCGAATATGACCAATAGGTAAGGTTCGTAGGTAGTACATGTTCTAATATCACCTCTAGGTAAGGTTGGTAGGTAGGTAGAACATGTTTGGATATGACCGTTAGGTCAGAAAAATTTGAGTATAAATGCAAATCCCCCATTTGCCATCAATTTTATACTTGTCTGAAACTTCCTCCCATTTCTAAAATAAACACATCCATCGTGACTCGTGAGTTCCTCATATTACTCATCGTCTGGAGGAGAAGAAGAGATAGAAGAGTTGAATCTGTTTAACTATCACCGGTTGGCTTTAATCGGGCGGAGGCTTGAGGAAGCTTCATCCTCACGTCGTCGTTCAACAAGTAGCACCTACATTGATCATGAAAGAATCTCGGGTCATGACCGTCTTATGCAGGATTACTTCAATCCAAATTCAACATATGATGCCCGCATATTCAGAAGGCGTTTTTGTATGCAGCCACGCCTATTCAATCTCATAATGGGTGACATTGTGAGGTATGATCCCTCTTTTGCACGAAGGAGTAATGTCGTTGGTCACCTAGGCCTATCGACGGAGCAAAAGCTTAATACTGCACTGTGCATGCTAGCTTATGGCTCTCCAGCTGATCAACTTGATGACTACATGCGTATGGGTCACAGCACTGTGCTGGAAGTTTTCAGGAAGTTTTGCAGAGCCATGTCGGGATGTACTTATCGACATACCTTCGTGCACCAACTCCTGCTGATCTAAGGATTCTACTTCATAAACCCTCACAACGCGGATTCCCTGGTACGATTGGATCAATTGATTGCATGCACTTGGAGTGGAGGAACTGTCCTACTTCTTGGACGGGGCAGTACCTGGGGCACAACCGTAAGCCAACAATCACACGCCAAAACACAACACCAAACTGCGACCAAGTGTAATCGCAGTCCGGGAATGCAGTAACAGGCAAGTTTTATTATCAACCCGGGGTCTAGATCTACTGCTTACTCCGTGATTATCTATTATCTAGCCAACTAAGCCGAGTGATTTGTGTTTAAACTAAATGCAGTAAGAAAGCAGGAAATGGTTCGGTTTTCAAAAGCAGGAAAGAGTCACTAAGGAATGAGTCCCCCTAGCTCCTTGGATAGGTTCAATTGTAATTACCCTGGGTTGATTTACTGTTGATTAGACAGCGGAAGATCCGACAGTAGCTTGGAATCTCTTAAGCTGACCAAGCCCTCTCAGTCTAACTACACGGCAGACGGCTAGTCTTCACCGGGATAGAAAGCTGAAGCAATAAGCAAAGAACTCCACTACTGGAGTTGAATTCCAGTACAAAGCAGTAACTGGCTAACTCTCGTATAACCAATCTCCTACTATCGAATGAAGAGGCTCTAACAACCTAATCAGATTCTATCTATCTCAGGTTGCAGCAGAAATCGAGAAAAGCTGATCAGACTTCAATCAATTCAATAAACATGCATCATTCGATTAAAACCAAACAGTATAATCATCCCAAGTTATTACAATCAAATCCCTAACACAAGGAACTAGGGTTCTTCATACCCAAGTGAGAGAAAGGTTCTACTCCATAGAGAGAGAAAGGAAAAAAGAAATCAGAGTAGTCATACTCATAAAGATGAGGAAAATTTGCTTTGGGATGTTAATCTTCACTCCTCGGGACGCAATCTAGGCTTCAAGCGTGAGAAATCCACTCCAAATAGCTCCTAGGGTTTGTTCTTCGCTCTTTCTCTCTCTAAAACTCTGTTTTTGCTCTCCAAAACTTGAATCCCCCCTCTTTTGGCTGAAATCTGCCTAAAAGGCATCACTGGGCAAAACACGGTCGAGGGCACGGCCGTGTTTTGCTCCAGCCCGCCCTTGCCCTTTTGCCACGTGGTAATTACACGGCCACGGTCTGGGGAAAACACGGGCGTGTTTTGATGTGGACACGGCCGTGTTTTGAAATGGTCCCGCCCGTGTTTTGATGCTCGTGCAGGGAAATTGTAGGGAAGCCTCGGCAGTAAAAGCACGAGCCAGGAACACGGCCGTGCTTTGCAAGCCTCCTGCCCGTGTTTTGGTCCTAGCTCGACCAAATGACTTCCAAACGCCCCCAAACTCGTGCTTGGCTTTCCCTTCGACGTCTGGGACCTGAAATATGACAAAGTAGCACAACCCGGCGTAAAAAAGGCCAAAACACACAACTATGCCCCGCAAATGGATACGAAATAGGGGAATAAAAACATGCAATTACATCGTTATTAATAATCGAGGATGAGCAGGTTGATTCTGATGATGAGATGGAAGATAATCTAGATTATGAGGTCCATGACCAACAACCAACTAATGTCGACAGAGATATTCTAAGCCTAATCGAATACTTGGCTTGGAATAATAGGCTTCGTGCTGCACCAATACGTCATGGGCTTCGTCTGGACTTGGTCGAGCATATTTGGAACTTGCATGGAAATAATTAGTCATTGTTGTTGTTTGGTATCGATGTTGTGATGCTTTGTAATTCAATTAAAGTTGTAGTTGGTGACAATTTATTTGTAATTCAAGAACGCATTTTCATTTCAATAATATATCGGTCTAGTTTTTGTTTACATACAACTTCAAGATGATAAACATAAATTTTAAATAAAAAAAATTTAATTGAATTCATCTTATCAAATAATGCCGCCATCGGAATTTACTCCCTCAAATTTGGGGATCAAAATTCCGCCCTACCATTAAAATAGCGCACCCTTCTAGCTTCTTCTTCTCAGTTCACCTAACAAAATCCCCAATATCTCTCCCTCTTCCTAAAAACCCCAATCTAAATCTCTGGTCAACTAATGTCGTCGACTAATCGCTCTCCTGTACCTCTTACTCAAAATCCTAACCCTAATCTCCAGATTGCTGGTCTACCTCTGCTTAAAAAATCCGACCAAAGTACCCTGTATGTTGGCTGGATACATTATTTCAAACACATAATCAACACTTGTAATGGAAGGAAGCAAGATATATTTTTAATGATATCAAAAGTCAAAAGATTTGAACCATTCAATTAATGAAATAAAAAAAAAGAGCATACATCATAGAGGTTTTTTATGATATGCTAACCGATTTATCAACGGAAGTTCTTATTGAAAAAAAAAGTGCTCATGGAAAGGAACTAACTAGTAAAACATTTTATCAAGCTACACTTTAATTTACTTCTTACAGTAGGAAATTGTTATAATTTTTCTTTTGACTTCTTTGCTATTGTTTTACCAGATGTATCATAATCTCTATTAATCACTGTTTCATATTCTTCACTGAAACATCTCTGTCGATCATCAATAGTCTATCTATTCTTCTCAACAGCATCACTACTCACTATCACTATTTCTGAATTCACTACCTCTACAATCAATGGACTCTTTCTCCTTCATTTTCATTTCATTCATATTTTAGTTGAGTCTAAAATGTTTGCAAATATGAAACCTTATCAATTAATAAAGATTCTTAATTGACGTAGCTACTAATCCAATAGTTTAAAATCCCACACGTTTCATTTTCGAATTAAAAGTTATAAATATTTTAATTGGACATATTTATTATTAGTGAATAAAAATGTCGGTACCAAATAAAAGGAAAAAATAAGTTTTTTTCTTTCTAGAATACGGGATGGGTAGAAAATTTATGAAAATTTGGCCTTTTTAAGGATTAATAAATAAACTTTCGTGTATGAGAGATTATTGATTAAAGTCTATAAATGCTTTGTTTTAGTAGTTTAAATGACTCAAATGTCCTTCCTACAAACTCTCATAATGCTATGTATGTGCACATCAGGTCGTGTCCGGGTGCGCTTAGCGAACTTAGTAATAGTTCATGCACATGTTTATCTATGACACTCTGTTTCTCCTTTAAGTAGGTGTGGGCAACCGGTTTGGTAAACCCAAACAGAACCGAACTAAACAAAACTTAATTAAATCGAACCAAAACCAAAATAATGCTATTCGGTTCGAAATTCTGAATGAAAATATGGATATTTTGGAAATCAGGATTCTTTCAACCGAACTGAACTTTTGACCAAAAACCCGAATAACTATAATTGTAAGCTCCAAATGGTGGATTTTTTTTATGTTTGTACTTGTTTTGAGACTTAAATATTTGACTCAAGTTAGTGTTTTATGACTTATGTGTTGAATTGTTTGATTTTATCATTGATGATGCATATTAATTGCATATTTATTGTTTGCATTAGGGGTAAAAAATAATTTAAAAGGGAGAAGATACAAGTAGCCTCACAAATTCGATTTTGTGTTAAATTCCAAATCTAACCGGATTATAATTCAGTTTATACCAACCGAATCAAATTATAATTCGATTCGAATTCGGTTTGAGATTTGAGACTTGGTAGACTTCGGAAACCCGGTATGCATAATTTCGATTCGCTCGAAACCGAACCAACCGAATGCCCGCCCCTACCTTTAAACGATTCCAAGGTTGGTAACCACTTGAAAATGGTCGAGCATCAATCAAACGAGCCAAACTAGAACGAGACCTTGTGGTTCAGTAGCTTTTGGTGTGAGAAATTATCTCATAGGTAATGTTATTGAGCACGACCTTTCTAGATCTAGGTACATGTTTGGCCTTATTTGACTGATTGGGGCTGTGAGTGAGTAATTGTTCTATTTTGCGTGACTTGGCTGATTGAATTACCAACCGAGCCATGCTTTAGCCCATAAATTACTTCTCTCTATTTATATTGACCTCGCGGCGTTGTTGAATTTGCAAGGTCGTTGCTATTGCAATGTCGTAGAACTCACGGCGTCTTCGATCATCACGAATTTGTTTAGCCCACAACATCGTTAATCTCTCGACGGTGTGATAATATGATTTTAAGACAAAATTAGTTTTTAGGTGTAAATAGAGACAAAATTTAGAATAAAAATCCATATGTATTGTATATAAGTCGTTCAATTGTATCTATGAGATGGTAAACATGATTTTCAATTTTGTTGGATGTCATATCATGTATTTGTAGCTCCTTATTGAATAAAGTTTATATGTACGATACCAGATTGATGAGGAAACTGGAAAACTACCATCTGCCTCGGAAGTTTGGATGGCACAACATAGCAGTTTGAATGCAAATAATGAGCGGAAGTGGGTTGATAGTTCATCAGAGCATTATTATGTAAGTGCTTTTTGTTCGCATTAATCTCTTGTTTTGTTTCAACTATGCTTGAACTAACATGTTTTTTTTTATTCATTCCAGCATGAGATAAGAAGAACAAAAGAAGAAGTCATGCCTGTGGATGAGACTGTTAACGATAATGAAGATGTCTGGAGAGTGGTGTTCGGTGCTCGATCTGGCTATGTTCGTGGTAAAGGAACTGGGTACAAGTCAACTGCAAAGGGAGTGACTACAAACAACCAGAACGAAAAAATAGAACAACTGGAGGCTAAAGTTGTTGACCTGAACGCAAAACTAGCAGCTCAAGACAAACATAATTTAGCCTTAACCCAAAGGTTCGAAAAATTGTTGGAAATGGTGGAAAATGAAAGGCATGAATCATCTTCACACAGCGGCCAAGTAAGTACTCAAATTTCTATCGTTACACTTACATTAATTTTTAATTATTTTATTTACTAGATTTCAATCAAACTAACACACTCATAAAATTAGAGGGAAGATGATCTCACTTCGGAAGAGACAAATGAGGAAGAGTATACAAGAGATGAATGTTCTCATCATGTATGAAATTTCCTACTAAAATTGCAGATTAATTTATATATTTAACTTATTGACTTTCTTGTTCAAATTCAGTGTATAGGCCAAACGTGTGAATAAGAAACGAGCTGGCAATAAGATTTTGAGCGCAAAAAAGAAAAACAGGTACTCTTAATTCAAAGAATCTAGGTAGCATACGTAGCATACGTAATAAATGGGAATTTTCCATGTGGTCCTATATATGCATTAGTGCTATAAGTTGCAATATGTTTCCCAACTACAAGTTATGATTATCTATTTTTCCCCTATCTTTCGTGTATTCATGTCCCTAATTTTCTTTTCCAGGCTATATTGGTCCAATAAGTTTCAATTATTTCATGGTTGTAAATTATGATATATAAATTTATTTTCCAAGCTGTGTCTCAACTTCCATTTGATTCAATTGATGTCAGTAACCTATACTTAACTTTGAATTTTGTTTGATTATACTTTCAGGAGCTAAGAGAAGAAGGATGTTTGTTGGCGGAACATGGAGGGGTATGCAGAAATAATCGTTAGTACATTTTTTTTTTTGTTAGAGAGGCAATTAATAAATTATGGATGTGAAACTTGTTATCTATTTCTTTGTAGATGTATTTTTTCTAGTTCGCTAGAGAATGTTTAGCCTTTTAAAAGATGAATGTTGGGATGACATTTTAGTAGTTTTGCTTAATTTTTCATGGAGATGATTTTATGACATTTTGATATATAGATTTAAATGTTGGTTTTCACATATGCTCCCTATTACATTGGTGAAGGGACATATGATCGTCCCCGCAACTTATAAATGTGGCATTCTCTCATCCCCAAAGACATCGTTTAAGGATGCATGATCGTCCCTAGAAATTATGTGGACGACATTTCAGGGTCCGTTATGCTACCACTTAAGGGACAACAATTTGTCCCAAAATATTATATGAGTGACAATGAGTGGTCCCCAATGATAAAGGTTAAAGACAATTGGTCGTCGCTATAAGTTATGTACGTGACAAATTGACGCCCTTGAAGACACTTTTTAAGGAATGATTGGTCGTCCCTACCCGTTGATAGGTGACAATTAGGCATCCCAAAAAATACAGTTTAAGAGACAAATGATCGTCCCCACAAGTGATACATGGGACAATTATTCGTCCCCAAAGACACATGTTGAGGGACAACAGGTCGTTCATGCGAGTTACATAGGGGACAATTAGTCGTTCCCAAAAGGCGCATAAGTGACAACTCCTCGTCCCCTAATATAAAAGTTAAGGGACAATTATTCGTCCCTAAAAGTCAAAGGTGACAACTTGTCGTCTCTAAACATATAGTATAGGAGACCACTTGTAGTCCTTGAATATAGCTTTTGGGGACCAATTTTGGGCTCCAATTTGACACCTATAGGAACGACATGTCGACCCTATAAAAAGAAAAGGGGACAACAAATTATTCCCATATTGGCTCAAAGCAATTATGAAATCGGGTATTAGGGACAACAGTTTGCCCCTAAAAATGATGTTTAGGGGACGACTTATGGTCGCTAAAGTTATAGCTATGGGGACGACATGTTGTCGCTACAGTTATAGCTATGGGGACGACATTTTGTCTTTCATGGACAAGAAACGAGATGACGGCTTGCGAGTATCGGGGGCATATGCTCCCTATTACATTGGTGAAGGGACATATGATCGTCCCCGCAACTTATAAATGTGGCATTCTCTCATCCCCAAAGACATCGTTTAAGTGATGCATGGTCGTCCCTAGAAGTTATGTGGACGACATTTCAGGGTCCGTTATGCTACCACTTAAGGGACAACAAGTTGTCCCAAAATATTATATGAGTGACAATGAGTGGTCCCCAATAATAAAGGTTAAAGACAATTGGTCGTCCCTATAAGTTATGTACGTGACAAATTGACGCCCTTGAAGACACTTTTTAAGGAATGATTGGTCGTCCCTACCCGTTGATAGGTGACAATTAGGCATCCCAAAAAATACAGTTTAAGAGACAAATGATCGTCCCCACAAGTGATACATGGGACAATTATTCGTCCCCAAAGACACATGTTGAGGGACAACAGGTCGTTCATGCGAGTTACATAGGGGACAATTAGTCGTTCCCAAAAGGCGCATAAGCGACAACTCCTCGTCCCCTAATATACAAGTTAAGGGACAATTATTCGTCCCTAAAAGTCAAAGGTGACAACTTGTCGTCTCTAAACATATAGTATAGGAGACCACTTGTAGTCCTTGAATATAGCTTTTGGGGACCAGTTTTGGGCTCCAATTTGACACCTATAGGAACGACATGTCGACCATATAAAAAGAAAAGGGGACAACAAATTATTCCCATATTGGCTCAACGCAATTTTGAAATCGGGTATTAGGGACAACAGTTTGCCCCTAAAAATGATGTTTAGGGGACGACTTATGGTCGCTAAAGTTATAGCTATGGGGACGACATTTTGTCTTTCATGGACAAGAAACGAGACGACGGCTTGCGAGTATCGGGGACGACTGTCGTCCCTAGTAATGGGGACGACCTAGATTTTTGTCGTCCCCAAAAGAATAGAGGACAAGAGTATAGGGAACCACTCTTTGGGGACCGCTTAGTCGTCCCCAAAAACTATAGGGACGATTTTTCCTATTTCCGGGGACGACTTTTGTCGTCCCCAAACCTCCTCTTTTTTGTAGTGAGGGGACCAGATTGCGTTGCCAAATCGGTTGATATAGCGTACAAAAAGGAGTGGAGCGTCTCATCGACATTTTGATGGACGAGACCAAAAATGTGAAACACCAGAATTACAAAGATTATAGTTACGTCCACAGCTATCCCAATCGTGACAACGGCTCTATCATTGGTGGTGCCACTTGTGATAGACAGCTTTGGAAATTGGATTGCTGGTCATGTCTTGTTACTGCCAAGAACAAACTCAACTACAATTGTGGTCACACCCATGACGCTAGGATCGAACTCGCCGATTGCTCTATTTGGTACAAGATGATTCGCTGACTTCACTCTGTATATCTCTATATATGTGTAGATGTGTGTATGCATGCTCCTCTCCTCCTGTTCAGATTGATCTGTTAATTAGCTTTGTATATTTCTTGCCTGTATTTTTCTCCTATCCTTTCTTTTGTTGTTTGTCTGTGGTTGTGTTTAGGGTCTACTTTCCATAGTTATCTGCATCCAATAAGGTTTCCGGTGAAACCAGTTACAACTTAGAAGCAGAAGCTACATGTGTGTTCTTACAGTTTTTTGGTTAAAGAAATCTTTTGCGTCATTATCATTTGACTCCATTGCCGGATCCTGTATGGTGATAATCACGATCACATCTTTGCATTTCATCTACTTGTCATGTGAATGTTGGTCATAGCTTTATCATGTGAATGTGGAGCAGCTCGAGAACGAAAGTTGATGTTCAGCTTTATGATGTGAATGTTGGTCATAAAGCCACCCATTAACGTCAAATCGTCAATGTACAACAACATGCTCACAAAAATAGGTGAATCGGGCGGGTTTGTGTTGGGTTTGCTCGAGTGACAGGTTAATCAATTTGTGGGTCAATTAGGTACGGTTATGGGTTATACGGGTTCGAGATCATCAGCTTAAGGGTTAGATGGGTTGCAGGTTCTATTGCATTTCAAGTTATCAAGTTACGGTTACTTGGGTTGCACTTTCGATTGGGTTAAGAGTCATTCGGGTTTGGATTCATCGGATTTGAGATTTTTAGCTTTTTAAATTTTATAGGAAAACACAATTTCAAGTGCTTTTTATATGTTCAACTTCACAATTAGGAAATGAATAAAATGGCTTCGCATAGATTTCAAACCAAAAACTTCATTTTGCAAGATTATATAATATATATTAATTATTCGGGTGAATTTGGCAGATTTTCCTTGGGTTGAACGGGTCACGGGTTAGTTCGAGCTCAATCGGGTTACGGGTTAGTCGGGTTATGAATTCAATCGCGTTCAAAATAATTGTGTTGCTGGCGGGTTTCAAAACGGACAGGTTGGGGGTCAATGACTTTTATTCTACTCGGTTTACGCGTAGTGCTACATGTTCAATCATGTTCGTATTAATTTTGTATGCCAATTGGGTTTGGGTCGGACAGGTTGCGGGTCATTTACACCTATACTCACATACTTCTCTGATTAGACGAAATCGAGCAAGGAGAAACAAAGAGACAAAACTTGAATTGAAATCCATTTTATCTGGCCATTGACTTTAAGACAACTCGGATTGTGGTCAGCCTATGTATCGAATTAACCAATGGGTTAGTTTGGTTATGGGTCAAACTAGTCGACGGGATAATCAGGCCGCATTCTGTTCTGACACCTATACTAACGGACCTCCCTGCTCATATGAAACCGAGTAATGAGAAAACTAAGAGATAAAACTTGAATCATATATATATATATATATATATATATATATATATATATATATATATATATATATATATATATATATATATATATATATATATATATATATATATGGTGGCTTCTATCGTACCTTGGATAAAATCTAGGGTACGACATACCATGAGTAAAAAAATGCTATCTAGACCTCGAATTAACCGAATTTTTGGACATGATACTATACTCTAACCCTTGATGATTGAAACCTAGGTCTTAGATTTCTAAATCAAAGAGCCTAATCCCTAAGATTGTGCCTGTAATTTGTTGCATATATTTCGACAAATCATAGCCGTTGATTTTTGTTTCTAATTAAATTGATCTTAGTGTATGAGATTTATAAAACTAAGACCTAGATTTTAATCCTTAAGGGTTTGGGAATAATATCAGACGCCAAACTATGCTCAATTCGAGGTCTAGATATCATTTTTTTACTCAAGGTATGTTGTACCCTTGATTTTACCCAAGGTACGATAGAATCACCCATATATATATATATATATGGTGGCTTCTACGGTACCCCGGGTGAAATCCGGGGTACCGCATACCTTGAGTATGAAAACGCTATCTAGACCTAGAATTAGCATGATTTTTGGGCATGATACTATACCCTAACTCTTAATGAGTGAACCCTAGGTCCTAATTATCTAAATCATAAACTATAAACCCTAAGATGGAGCATTACTTTTTTTGCCCATATTTGGACGAATCATAACCGTCGATTATTATTTCTAATTAAATTGATCTTGGGGTATAAGATTTAGAGAATGTAGACCTAGATTTTGATCTTTATGGGTTAGAGTATAGTATAATGTCCGAAACATCAGTCAATTCAAGTTCTAGATAGCGTTTTCTTACTTAAGGTATGTGGTACCCCGGATTTCACCCGGGGTACCGTAGAACTCCCCATATATATATATATATATATATATATATATATATAAAAGCTAGGTACACTTTTTTGCCAAAGTTACTATTTCAATTTTTGTCTTTTAGTGAGGATGAAAGAACTTGCCAACTTACCCCATCCCTCACACACTCAAATATATTAAAAAAAAAATTACCATATGGTCAAAGATATTGTATGTATAACAAAGGGGAAGATTGCTTTGTTTAGCCGAATCGAGTCGAAAATAAAATCGAGTAAAATAATTTCCTTGAAACCAGAGGCTTAAGCGGTTCAATTTGATTTCAAAAAAATGAAACCCAAGGCTTAATTGAATATTGAGTGTTTGTGTATTGGTTGTTATTTTATTTCTATTGTTTTCAGTTTTTCAGTTTTGACC